GATCTTAAGTTACTTATACACACAAATCAAATATATCACAAATCAAATACATCACAGATTATACATCTCAGATCCATGCAACGAATCACAAAATTATATATCTCAGTGAATCACAAATTGAAAAAAAAAGAGAAAGGATGCTGGTAGCGGCTGCCGCCTGCCGCCGCTCGCCACTCGCCATGTGTGCGGCCCCGCCGACTGCCGGTCGCCTGCCCGCCGAGCGCAACCCCGCCAGCCGCCGGATGGCAAGGGAGGAGGGGGAGGAGAGGGCCGGGGATGGGAGGAGGAAGGGGAGGAGGGGGGAGGAGGAGAGGGGAGGGGAGGAGAGGAGGAAGGGATCGATCTGAGGAGAGGAGAGGCCGGTTGTAGAGGAGAGGATAAGAGAGAGAGAGAGGGATTATATACTACGCGTTTAATTTTTTCCGGTTGGTAATACCAACCGGGACTAAAGTGGTGATATTTAGTCCTGGTTTGTGACACTAACCTGGACTAAAGATCCTCAGCCCCCTGACAGGCCACTGACTTGGGATGAACCGGGACTAAAGATGGTTGGTGTTACCAATCAGGACTAAAGGTCATAGAATGGCTGTGGGGTTTTAAACTGGGACTAAAGATGATCTTTAGGCCCGATTCTTTTTGAAACCGGGACTATTGTGGTTTTGGGTCGACCTAGCAAAGATCAGTTTCGCAGTAGTGAAGGCAGCAAATTAGCAATGTTTTCCGTGGATGGACGCTATGTAATCTTCCTTGTGTACATAAACCCTGTAATTGCTTATAATTAGTATATAGTGGGGCTCCCGTACTGTTTTCTGGTTAAAAGAAAAAAATAGTATGGTTGTTTTAAAATGTTTAAATAATCAACTGCTTTAAAATGCTTATTTACTGCAAAACATCCCTATAATACAATTCCTTATACCCTTGCATTATTCATATACTCCCTCCATTTCATAATATAAGGCATAACTACTTTTTAAAGTTGTTTTATAATATAAGGTGAGCATGCATGCATATCATTAACTACCACTTTTTTTTCACTAAAATATTATTATTTAAATCATCCACCATGAAGATCTCTAATTTTATTGGGTGCATGTATTCTATTTATCAGGGTAATCCAAACTATGAGGTGATAATAATTATTTCTTGGTCTTTGGGTTAAAGGTTGGTTGTGTCTTATATTTTAAAATGGAGAGAATATTTTTTTCGATGTTGTTTGCTGAGTATTGTGGATGGTACTTATTCTTGTTCAATTTTTCTTTACAGCGAGAGTATTTTTGGAGAAGTTTTAAGTGGAGTCTTGGTTCATATCCCATATTAGTGCCTATCATTAGGGGCGGATCTAGAACAAGATTTAAGAGGGGACTCATCTCCTAATTTCTTCTTGAGTCCCCCTACCCTTCATTTTCTCCATATTCTTCCCCTTTCATCTCCTCTTCTATCAATGGTGATCCAGCGGGATAGAGGGGACTTGAGTCCCAGCACCCATGCTGGATCCGCCCCTGCCTATCAAGATAGTATCCCTGTTAGTCTGTTGTTGTTTTATTTTTAGTTGTCATATCCTATGTGTGTTTATGATAATGTAAATATTATCGTTGTTACGTATATGTGATTTTTTAAAATCAATTGTACCTCGGAGTGCCATTTCCTTTCCTAGGATTGATCGCGATCGTCACTCATTAATTAGCTAAATATCGACCATCTGAAGAGTCTTGAGTCAAGTCAATAAGCATGCATCAAGCTTGATACTGTAGGAGATTGGGGTCGAGAATTGATCGTCGAACAAATTAATGCTGAACACATGCGCTGCTGATAGATGCACACTGCACAGGCCACAGGGGCACACGGTTATTGCATGCACCACGTGGTTAGGTTTGGACCCGACAAAGATAAACTTTGTGCCGAAACATAAGTCCGTCACCAATAGGTCTTATCGGTGACGAGCTCGTAATATATGCTCATGAAATATGTATGAACAAGTATATTTGTATCGGTGTTTATTTCGATCCATTAAAGATGATGACGGTGTGATGGTGCGCAAGACCAAACACGGGATAGACCGTCACAGATATGCAGTTATGTACAAGTGCCCTCCGGTCTAACCCCGTGGATCTACAATAAAAAAAAAATTGAAAGCCTTTGGTTTTCGTCTACTCCCTTAGCCCTAAAACATAATTCAAACTTAATTCTAAATATAACAACTCAGTACTTGTACAAAATTATTTTTAGCACTAAACCACTCATGCTATTCGAGAATAGCAATTTATTCAACTGAAGTGGGAAACAGTGTTTAGACCCTTTATCAAGCCATAGTAGTTGTAACCATATAATATAACACAATGTGTGTGGATAGGGGAGAGAAATTAAGGTGGGACTTGTTTACACCTAAATTTGGCACCTAGGTTTAAATTAGGAAAATATTACCAAAATTTGGAAGAGTGCTGGTTTCCCTCACAAGGCCGGTCTGACCGCCATATGTTGGCCGGTCAGACCACTACTTGTGCGCGTGGTCAGACCGGTAGAGTCCGATACCGAGTCTATATTTTCATTGGGTGTCAGGACTCCTTACTCAGGAGGGTATGTTTCGGGTTTCCATTGGTTTTTATCCTGAGTTAGGCGTGGAGGATGATCTGCAGGAGGCAAGACCAACCCTTATATCCTTATATAAGGGACAAGGCTAGTTCAATTGGAAGAAGAATCTACACACAATCTAATTTAGCCAATTGAATCACTTTTTCAATATTGCACATAGTTCTAGCCTAGTTCGTCCATCTTTATTGATTTGCATTGTAAATCGTCTGCCTTCGCTGCGAGAGTGCAAAATCCCTTTGTAGGTTTGTCCCGTAGTTGCCCGTGGGCTCCGGAGCCATCCAAGGACTCCAAAGCCTTCTAGGTTCTCCGGAGCTGTTTGAGGGCTCCAGAGGAAGCTAGAGCTTCGAGAGCCTTGGGCGTAAGATGGGTGATCAGATGCGTAGTGGGACGCTATAAATTCGCACTACGCATCTGCCAACCACCTCTGATGCCGCTAACGAGGGCAGACAGCGCACGCTATTACCCGGAGCACGTCTTTACCCGGGTAATAGCAGGCGCCCTTGGGAATCGGCGGCGCTCCCTTAATGGGCGCAGCCCTCCTGTCACCGAGGAGCTTACCAAAGAGCCCTAAAGCTGGCCCACCAGCCAGCCGCCTAGATAGATCAGCGATTAGGGTAGCGATATAATTTCCCCTTGTACATCCTTGTATAAATATGTAAACATTGCTCACAGCTGGGCATATTGAATACATAAGTGATACACATATATGCTTGTTGGATTTTGTCCCAACAATATCCTATCCGGAAAGTTCATCTCAACAAAAGTTGCAATGTTCAGACCATCCTTGAACATATCATCTGTTGGTCTCTTTCGTAAAAATATTTCAAAGAGAATTATTCCAAAGCTATAAACATCTCCGTAGGTTGACATGTCACCACCTACTGCATACCCTGTACAGAGCATAGCACACGAGAGTAGTTAAGTCAACACATTAAAATAGGAAGAAAACGCTCCCAACTTAAAAGGGAAACATTATATCATGAGAGTAGGATTCACCTGATCCGGAGGGCGTGGAGCGCTGCTCATCGCCTCCGGGAGGTCCGTTCCTGGCTGGAGCGCTGAAACCATCCGCCGCCGATCGCCGCACGGCTCGACTGCATCACAGCCCCATGTAAAGCCCAAAGCCAGTTTATATCGCCTGATTTTGTCCGATCCGTGTGCTACCAAGTTTATATGGATTAATGATCAAATTAAACAGACAAACCTCAGCAGTAATCCAATCCCAGCACAGTTGATATATGTTTCCTCGATGGGTATCAATTCGGCGGAGGTGGAGGTCAGCCACATGTCGGCGAAGCTGACATCACTGACGAGGAAGAGGACCAGGTGGACGTCGTCTCGATGGCCGGCAACATCCCAAGGTCGTGGCTGCACTGGTACTCTGGTAGCCCAGCCGTGGTCCATTCCTGGACGGAGCCATGCAATCTCAGGATGTGGGTCGCATTGGCCAGCAGATCCCTCAAACCTTCGCGTCTGCCTCGCCGCTGTTGCCTCCCGCTGGCTTTGCTGCAGAGATGGAATCTCACGATGACGATTCTGTGGCCCATCATGGCCCATGTAAAGCCTAAAGACTCTTCATATGGGGCACCCTGTTTGTATTTCGTACAACAACTAATGAGGGCAGCCCGAACATCTTACAAAAACAAGTTCCTACTATCTACTCCCTCCGTATTTTAATGTATGACGCCGTTGACTTTTCGACAAACGTTTGACCATTCGTTTTATTCAAAATTTTCATGCAAATATGAAAGTATTTATATCATGATAAATGCTTAAAGAACATTTGATGATGAATCGAGTCACAATAAAATAAATGATAATTGTATAAATTTTTTGAATAAGATGAATGGTCAAACGTTGGATAAAAAGCCAACGGCGTCATACATTAAAATATGGAGGTAGTATTATACTAAGGGTTTGTTTGGATAATGTAATAAGAAAGTGGGATTGGGATAAGAAAATAAGTGAAGGGTTAGGATAAAATGGAAGAGGGAGAATGAACAGTTAGGATTTAAAGATATCTTTTGGTGGATGGGAAATCATTTCTCTAATAACCCCTTAGCCAAACAAGGCCTAAGCGTTTCAGATTAGCAATGACCCAATATTTTTGTTTTACTGGAATGTTCATAATGTTATCAGTCAAGTCCTCTTTATGGTATTATGTACCACTATCATTGATATCCATCCAGACTTTCACGATACACCCATCCAGAAATGTTACGGCTACTGTTTGTGATCCGACAACGACTACGTCTTCAAACCCGGTTCGTCATCAGGCGCGTCCTAAGCGTGTGAGACAGGCGAATGTTCGGATCTCTGGGCCTGAATGGGTTGGCTCGACAGCTGTAACCAGTGCATCCATATAAGCACTCGTGTAATAGGAGAGAAAGCATCGAATATGAAATAACCAAACAATCCTTCCTCCTAAAGCTACCAACTCTGTTCTGTCTCCCCTGTTTCCTCTGCTCTACCTCTATTGTTCAGATCTCATCTCTGGTTCGTAACAAGAAAGCAGAAGCAGAAAGGTGATTTCTTTTATATCTCTCCTCAATACACAAAGAGAAATACTGCAACGTAAATGTATACTGGTAAAATGTATGTTACATTGCCATAAAAAAAAGCTTATAGTGCCATATTAACACCCAATGGAAAATGCAAGACACATGAGGTAGGTTCCGTCCAATCATCGCAGTTGCCAATATTGTGTAGAATACAGAGTATACAGGGTCTGAGGGTCCACATGCTGCTGATGATTTCAGGGTATCTGCAATGTAAGCTTAGCATCAGCCCTATGTTTATTTACACATGCATTTTACTAGCTAAGAAAAGGATAATACAAACACACATTATGATAAACTACCTTGGAAATATGTACAGCGAGTGCATATCATTGAATTAGGTTAATTACCTTAGTTGCTGCTGAGGTAGGCCTCCTTAATTTTACGCAGCCTTGCAGCCACTTCTCGCATGTCCATGCGCTCATAGGGGGATGGCTTTGTGCAGCAAAGTCCAATGTTTAACACAGAACGTAGACACTCCATTTCTTTTTCCTTCATGTCCACAAGAGTGTCATGGGATAGACCATTCTGGTATTCTAACAATTCTTGGTCAACAACTTCTGATATCCTGTCAGGAAAGTTCATATCGACAAATGTTGCAATGTTCAGACCATCCTTGAACATATCGTGTGTTGGTCTCTTTCGTAAAAATATTTCGAAGAGAACTATTCCAAAGCTATAAACATCTCCGAAGGTTGAAACTTCACCACCTGTTGCATACTCTGCATAGAGCATATAGCACATGAGAATAGTTAAGTCCAAACATTAAAATAGGAAGAGAACACTCCCAACGAAACATAGTGTACCATGAAAAATAGGATTTACCTGGAGCAACATATCCAATAGTTCCATTAATTGCACTTGAAATAATTGAGTCACCGGAAGATGATATAGTGCAATCAACTTTAAACCTTGCAAGGCCAAAGTCTCCAACATGTGCTGTTAGGCTGTCATCTAAAAGAATGTTGCTAGGCTTGAGATCACAATGAACAATAGTTCCTTGGTTGTTATGGTGGACGTACTCCATTGCATCTGCAACATCCACTACAATGCTTAACCTTTGAGCAAATGCAATATGGATGGAAGCTGAACCGTTTTCATCATCCTGATTTGAGTATAGCATCATATGCAAGTCACCTTGTGACATGAATTGATATACTAGAGCTTTGAAATCATTCCCTTGAGAATCAATACTTGAGCATGCAGTTAGGATGGGAACAAGATTTCGGTGTCGCACATTTCTTAAAGTTTTGCATTCTGCAATGAAGCTTTTTTGTGCCCCTCTAGTTTGTAGGCTGAAAACTTTCACAGCAACCATATCTCCATATTGCAACAATCTCCCTTTGTACACAGAACTGTATCTTCCCCTGGCAATTAAATTGGATATGGAGAACCCATCCGTCGCTCTGGAAAGATCGTCGAATGAAACTTTAGGAAAATTTCTACCGAATGAAGGGAGAGACATAGATTTTCTCTCATGTTTTTTCCTCCAAAACAACAAGACAGATATTCCCGTAGCAAGTGACACTATGCAAGCTAAGGGGATCACAACTTTCAGTACTACGGATCGCAAGTGTTTAGTTGAACTTGGAGGTCTATAAGTGCACACAGGTAGGTGTAGCTTTGTTGCCCCACCACAAAGACCCCTATTTCCAGCAATCCATATGGCCGTTGTGTTGTTGAATATACCTATTTCTGGTACTTCACCCTCGAGATTGTTGAATGACAGATCTAGTTGTTCAAGATACTTCAAGCTACCAATAGACTTTGGTATTGATCCTGACAAGAGGTTATGAGACATATTGAGCACTTGCAAGCTTTCCATGTTGCCAAATGATGTAGGAATGCTCCCACTGAGAAAATTCTGATCCAACTCGATCTCTTCAATACTCTCACAATTACCAAGTGTGTCAGGAATAACACCGGATAGGTTATTTGATGAAAGCACAAGATGTTCTAATTGTTTAGCATTTCCTATTTCAATAGGAAGAGGTCCATCCAATCTATTGGAATATAGCCAAATCTCCCTTATTGTAGGAATGCTGAAGAGCTCTCTTGGGATGCTACCATGAAGATTGTTGTTTGGAATGCTCAGTACTTGTAGTACTTTGAGGCTTTCCAAACCTCGGGGTATATGGCCATAGAACTGGTTAGAGTCCAAGACAACATTTTCTAGTAGAGATAAATTTGAGAGGGATGATGGAATAAATCCTGTAAACATGTTTGCCGCTAGGAATATTATTTGCAAATTTTTAAGATTTCCTAGCCAATCTGGAACTGGACCTGTAAAACGATTTGAATTCAGTGCTAGACCTGACAGGCTGTGAAGATTTGCAATGCCTGCAGGAAAACGCCCTGATAGTTTATTGCCTCCAAGGTATAAGAGTTCAAGCTTCATAGAAAGGTTGCCGAATGAACTTGGTATCTCTCCTTCTAGTTGATTTTTTGCAAGTGATAATGCTCGTAGTTTGGTGCAATTGCTGAGACTATTCATGAACTCCAAGCCTTGCTTATCACTTGATTGTAGTTGATTAAATTCAAGGTTCAACACGGAGAGTTCCTGAAGTTTGCCAATGGAACTAGGCACCATCCCTATGAAATTATTTCTTGACAGATGAATCATGGATAGCTTAGAAGCATTTGCCAAGGAACTTGGGATATGCCCACCGAAGAAGTTGTTGCCCAAAGCCAACCCCTGTAGATTGGACAGTGAACTACCAAGACTGGATGGCAACTCTCCATGTAGATAATTGGACCCAAGATCTAGATCAGCAAGGGAAGAGATATTAAGGATGGTTTGTTGAAATCTTCCTAAAAGCTTATTTCCAGAAGCAGCAAATAGTTGCAGAACGCGTGATTTTCCAATTTCTTTGGGAACCTCACCATTGATTTGATTAAATCCTATAGAAAGTTTAGTTAATGTCGTAATGTTAAATAGAGAGGTGGGAATGGTTCCAGTCAGATTATTATGTACAATCCAGAGAAAATAAAGGTTAGGCGGCAAACGGGCATCTGTAGGTACTTTCCCCACTAGGTGATTTCCATTCAGCAATAACGCCCAGAGATTAGAACAATTTGCAAAGTCAGGTATCTCTCCTTGGAGTGTATTATTACTCAAGTAGAGAACTTTGAGGTGATGCATATGACCAAGTGACAGGGGGATTTGTCCAGCTAGTAAATTTTCTTGGAGACTTATATATCTTAGGAATGTTAGGTTTCCAAGAGAAGGAGATATTGTCCCTACTAAGCCTTGACCACTAAGGTTGAGATAAATGACACGATGTGGAGCCTTCACCCTGCACTTGACACCTTCCCAACTGCAGACATGGTTGCTGTCATTCCAGGACATCAGGGCTTGCTGTGGATCAAGAGTGATAGCATTCTTGAATTCAAGCAGTGATAACCGATCTGTTTCATTTCCATTAGAGGAGCAGATGACAACATGTGCACTGCAAACCAAGAACACCAAGAGAAATTTCCCGGGTTCAATAAACTTCATGGCTAGCAAACGAAGTGCCTGATGACATGGTTAAGATACAAGTAAGGCACGAAACTTAAATTGCAAACTGGTGTTATGGCAAATATTTATTTGTTGACATGCGAAGTACCTGAGGGATTTCAATGGTTACTTCCTGAAGTGAACGCACGCTCTCTCTTCTAGATCAATAAGATTTGAGAAAAAACCAATGATTTATGCCACTGCATGTGAAATAATGTAACTCTAGTCCTCTAAAAGCCGTGCAATTCAGATATGCAAATTTTCTTCAAAATCCTGCAGTGAAATGGGTGACAATCGTTACATTATCTGGTATTATGATGATGAGTTGTGAAATTGCTACTCAATTTATATTTGGTTTTCATCCCTCTGTCTTATCTCTCCTTCTGCAAGACCCTTTCCTTATTCTAGATTTCTACTTCCTCCGTTTCACAATGTAAGTCGTTTTAGTATTTCCCACATTCATATTAATGCTAATGAATCTAGATAGATATATATGTCTAGATTCATTAGCATCAATATGAATGTGAAAAATGCTAGAATGACTTACATTGTGAAACGGAGGGAGTAGTAAGCAACTAGAGCAAATATAGGCATCGATCCAAGGGTCTCTGTTCGGTTCTAAATGACTGACATCCCCAAACAGGGATACTACAGGAAATGGAACAACTCATCATCCTCTAGAAAATCTCGAACCCAAGTAGTAAGAGCCAATACCTTAGAGCAAGTACTATAAATCTCCTAAGATGTCTTGTAGACTTATTTGATGAGGTGGGGAGAAAGGAGAGAGGGAAGGAACCATCCCTCATATAAGGGGCAACCCCTATACAAACTATACAAATATGGGAGTATTAGAGTTTGAGAAAATCTAAGAAATACCATCAACAAGTGCCCCAATCCAATAAATACCATCGACCAATCCAACTTCCTAGAAATGCCATCTATAAGTGTTTTTGTCCAAGAAATGCTATCGCCTTTAGGTAGCATTAGCAGCCATCCGCTAAGTGGTTTAAAAAGACCATTTTACCCCTACGATTAAAACTTTTGCTCTTTTCGTTAAGAGAGAATAGCTAATATAGTCCCTAAAGTTTCGCTCCTGGATCATTTTAGTCCTTAATCTTTCATATTGTCTAAACAAGTCCTTTAAATTTGTTATGTGGGCTAATATAGTCCTTGGTCCCACCAAAATCGCCACATGGACATGCCATGTCACCTTCCTATGCATAGGTAAATAAAAAACAAAAGAAAAAAGTTAAAAAAATATATATGGTACATGTAAGAGCAAAAATATACCTCAAAAGGGTGAAAAAAGAGGTATTTTTTTCCTATGGTTATGTCTAATTCACCCTTATATTTATTTTTCTATGATATACGTAAGGGTATATTGGACAATTCATTATAGATTTGCATGAATGATGACATGGCATATCCATATGATGATTTTGGTGGACCCAAGGACTATTATAGGCCTTATGACAAAGGTTAAGGATTTCTTTGGACCATTTAAAAGGTTAGGGACTAAACTGATCCTACAGAGAAACTTTAGGGACTAAAGTAGCTATTCTCCCATTCGTTAACTTACAATAATTTAGTGTAAAGAGCAGCCTACAAATTAGTGTAAACTGACGGAAAAGGCGGAAGTTTTCATCGGCTTTCAACAATTCGTATGGTAAAATAATCTTTTTATAGCATTTCATGAAGGGCTGCTAATGAAAATCTAATGGCGATGACATTTTTGGGACAAAGGCACTCATATGATGGTATTTCTAGGAAGTTAGATTTATCAATGACATTTCTTAGATTGAGACGCTTGTCTATAGCACTTCTTAGATTTTCTTTTAGAGTTATTGAGGTTTGTGTGTTATAGGTTACCTATTATATAAGTTACCTTTTAAGTTATACGGAGATGATATGTATGGAATTAGAGGTGTTAGCCACCTCAATTATAAAACTTGCTCTTAGAGGTCAGCTCGCTCATCGAACTTCATAATCAACATATAGGGGAGTATTGTTATGGGAAACCCTCAGCTCCTAGGTGCCAATTAATGAGCTGAATGTACTTTGCACTGTAATAATATGCTAGACATGCAAACTAATATGGTTTGTGGTTATGACACACACTGTAAAATCTCAAGTATTATTCCCTCCGTTTTTTTAATATATGACGCCGTTGACGTTTTAAGATATGTTTTACCATTCATCTTATTTAAAAATTTATGCAATTATCGTTTATTTTATTATGACTTGATTTATTTTCAAATGTTCTTTAAGCATGACTTAACTTTTTTTTGTATCCGTATAAAAAATTTAATTAAGGCGAATGGTCAAACGTTTGTCAAAAAGTCAAAGACGTCATATATTAAAAAAACAGAGCTAGTAGTATTTAGTAATTGCTGATCATCACCTCAGATAAAATGGAACCAAAATGTCTCAAATCATCTGTATATATATGCATTACCTTTCTAGACAGAATGTGCTGTGAATATAATTAGATGTATTCTACACACAAATCCCCAAAAGCATGCAATCCAACATACACCAATCTATCCCAACAACAAAATGATGAACAGAAACGAATTAAATGAAAGATTGATATGCATGACTGAGATTACCAGCGAGAGGAGCAGCTAGCCTGTCTCATGGGGCTCATGGTCATCGACAATTCGACTGCTTCCTTTTATAACAGAAGGATACCGTGGCTTTAATTAGCACAATCTTGGCATGCAAAGACTTGATTTGCAGTCAACTGCACGAAAGATTCCAATCAGGCGCCAGTTTTCTTCAGAAAGGATGCACAATCTGCAGTTGAAGACATGAAGTGCGGAGGACTGCCTAACACATCGTGATTGTCAGTCAAGTGCTCCACTCGCATGGCTGTGGGTGAAGACGAACGTCGATGGCTTTAGCACTATCTCCACTCCCATGCACTCTGCTTCCCTGTAATGAGTGTTGTATGTACCAGAGTGCGCAAGGTTCAGTCACCCACCTATCCTATCCATCTTTGTCATTTCTTCCTACTGCTTCCCTGGAATTTGTTGTGTAGGATTAAGGTTAGTAGTAACATTCAGCACACTTTCATTGATCAAATACATATGGAATTGTAAAATTAGTATATATTAGTAACATTCGATATTCAGCACACTTTCACTGATCAAAGACATAGTCACCCACCTATCCTGTCCATCTTCGTCAAGTCTTTCTACTGCTTCCCTGGAATTTGTTGTGTTGGATTAAGGTTAGTACTTTCCTTGATCAAATACATATGTAATTGTAAAATTAGTGTAGTATATATTAGTAACATCTGATATTCAGTACACTTTCACTGATCAAGGACATGGAATTGTAACATTAGTATATATGTACTACTGAATATTTTAGTCTGATGTCCTTTGTCACTTCGCACTGAAGCTTATAGAACAGATCGAGCAACTACCTAATCCAATCTTAAAAAGATATACAGCTGCTGAACTCAAGTTGTAAATGATTCACTGTAGTTAACAAATCACCATATTCTGCGAGACCAATTCACAAAGTAAGAGTTCTGAAGAAGATTCAGAGTGACAAAATGGTTCAGAGTTTCAGAAAACAAAAACCTCAGCGCTGTAATCCCAGTCTGGCTGATAGGTGTCGTCGATTCGAAGAAAATGCAGGAGTAGAAGCCTGCTGCAGTGCGGTGGCGTTGGTGAGGTTACAGATCGCCGACAAGGAGCAGGTCGGGCTGGTTTCCGGCGATGTGATCAATCGAGGCCGCGGCCGCCGGATTGATATATTTTCCGTGAGATATGGGCCAGAGAAAGCGGAGAAAATCGTCGCTCATCGCCGCCGCCGGCCATGCATGGCTAGGTCGCCGCATTGGTAGCCGTACGTCGTCCGATCCTGGATGGAGACCTAAAACTCCGGCTCGCATGGCGGATGTGGCATCGGCTAGCACAAGCTCCAGCCGTCACGCTCCAATACGCATCCTCACTATTGCCGCCGCCGCCGTTCGATGGCTCGCCGCAGAGCTGAACAGTCTATCTGATGCCCATATAAGAATGCTTTTTTTTTTATCGGTTTTGCTATTTCACTTTGCTACAGATTTTTGGGCTCCTGTCTTTCGATTTTTCTTCTTGTCCGTAAGATCTTGCATCAAGATTTGTGTTTATGTAGATCTAACTTGTAGTTATATTTTTTTCGCTGGGCAACTTGTAGTTATATTAAGTTACAGAACTTAGTTATAGTGCACTTACGCTCTATTACAATGCACCAAAATTAGATTTTACAAATGTTTTTTTCTCTAAATTTATGATTTTTGAAATGTTTATCCCTTTCTTTTTGTTAATTCTTTCAAAATAAGCTATATCCATTGGTTGAAAATTCTGTAAGATTTGAAGCTCAAGTCTATCGAAAGATTAATAGGTAGTCCTATTTTTTATTAGGTCCCCACAAACATGGCCGCTTAGGATATTAGCAAATAAGTCTCTGTTTTCTACCACTATGATTTGTTTTATAAAAAAAACAGTAAAACACATCAAGACTATAACTTGCGAGGTGGGTGTAATTTAGTCACTTCTCTTACAAGATGCTTAAATGAGTTACTCAACTTATTTCGGTGGTGGAAATTACATAAATCATGTGTCATGACATCCGTTAAATTATACTCCCTCCATTTCACAATGATACTCTCTCTGTTTCACAATGTAAGATTTTCTAGTATTGCCCACATACATATAGATGTTAATAAATCAAACACATGCATATGTCTAGATTCATTAACATCTAAACGAATATGGGCAATGCTAGAAGAAAGTCTTACATTGTGAGACGGAAGAAGTAGTTTAGTAAATATAATCAAGTACAATAATTTGTGGTCATCATCACAAAGGGAAATAAAATGCATGTAATCAACTTCGTGGAGTACAGAGCTAGTTGTATATATAGCGAGACATAAAAGATGTAGCTTCAGGCACTCATCCCAGTTGCCAAAGATGTATTGACAAGTACAGAGTCTACAGGGTCCAGTCCACAGACTTAAGATTTTGGGATATCTGCAATGTAAGCTCAGCATCAGTTTTCCTTCTTAATTGTTATTTTACTAAGGAAAGAACAATGCACATATAATATGAGAAACAATCATGGAGATATAGATAACAAGGCCATATACCTTAGTTGCCACTGAGAAACACCTCTTTGATTTTACTAAGCCTTGCAGCCACTTCTCGCATGTCCATGCGCTCATATGGGGATGTCTTTGTGCAGAAGAGTCCAATGTTTAGTACTGAATTTAAACAACACAAGACTCTTTCTTTTGTGCCCACATGTGTTTCTTGTAGTAATTCTGGGTCAACAATCTGCGGTAACCTATCTGGAAAGTTCACCTCGACAAACTTGACAATGTCGAGGCCATCCTTGAACATATCGTCGGTTGGTTTCTTTCGTAAAAATATTTCTAGTAGAACAACTCCAAAGCTAAAGACATCTCCATAGGTCGACACTTCAGCACCTGCAGCATACTCTATGGACCGCCATGGATGGGAACGGTTTACTCGAAATGATACTATGCTGAAACAATTCACAATTTAGAGGGAAACAAAAACACAATATGGAAATGAGCATTACCTGGGGCAACATATCCAAATGGTTCCCTTTATTGCAGTTGAGTAAATTGAGTTGGAGTCATTGGATCCCATGAAGTCAATTTTGAACCTTGCAAGGCCAAAGTCCCCAACATGAGCTATCATATCGTCATCCGGAAGAATGTTGCTAGGCTTCAGATCACAATGGACAATAGTTTCTTGTTTGTTATGGTGGAGGTACTCAATTGCATCAGCTACATCCACAATGATGCTTAATCTTTGAGCAAGTGTGATCCGGTTACCGTGATTTTCCCTGTTGAATTCTTCAGCTCCGGTCGAATGAAGTAATTTATTCAAGTCCCCTTGTGGCATGAATTCATACAATAGAGCTTTAAAATCATTTCCATTGGAACTAGTGCTCGCACATGCAGTTAGGATAGGAACTATATTGCGGTGTCGCAATTTTCTTAGTGCATTGCATTCTATGATGAAGCTCTTTTGTGCTCCCATTGTCTCTAAGTTGAACACTTTCACTGCAACCACCTTTTCGTCCGTAAATTTCCCTTGATACACAGAACTATACCTTCCTCTTCCAATTAAATGTGATGTTGAAAACCCCTCTGTTGCTTTGGCAAGATCATTGTAAGAAACTCTGACAAATTTCCTACCAAATGAGGGTAAATCTACAGATTTTCTCTTCTGTTTTCTGTTCAGAAGTAACAAGATAGATATGATCATAGCAAGTGACAACATGCTAGCTAATGGGATGACGATTTTTAGTACAATAGATTGCTTGTGCTTAGTTGAATCAAAAGGTATGATAGAGCGTGCATGTAAATGTAGCTCTGGCACTCCACCACAAAGGGCCTCGTTACCATCAATTCGAATGGCACTTGCATTCTTGAATATTCCTTTTACTGGGACCTCACCTTTAAGATGGTTGAATGAAAGATCTAGCTTCTCAAGAAATTGGAGGTTGCCAAGAGATGGTGGTATAGATCCTGACAAGTTGTTCTGAGACAAGTTCAGAACTTTTAGGCTGAGTATGTTGTCTAATGAAGTGGGGATGCTTCCACTAAATATATTCCGATCCAACATTATTATTTCCATGCTTTCAGAATTACCTAAAGAGTTAGGAATATCCCCAGATAGCTTATTAGACGAAAGCCTCAAATACATGAGTTGCTTGGCATCACCTACTTCTTTTGGGATACTTCCATCTAGGTTGTTGAAAGATAAATCAATTTGAAGCAATGATGGAATTTTGAATATCTCCTTTGGTATCATACCCTGAATATTTTTATATCCAATAGTCAATTCTTGAAGCATTTTGTGATTTCCCAAGCTTGGTGGTAGATGCCCATAAAACTGATTTGACTGTAGATAGAGATATCCTAATTGAGATAAATTTGAAAGGGATGAAGGTATAATCCCTGTAAAGTAATTGTTATATAAGCCTATTAATTGCAAATTTTGTAGACTGCCGAGCCATTCTGGAAGGACTCCTGAAAAATTATTGCTATCGATTGATATGCTAATCAAGTTGCGAAGGTATTGGAAACCAGAAGGGAAAACCCCTGATAATTGATTTCCTCCCAAAAGGAATTGTTGAAGCTGAACAGAA